TTGTGTCATCTGACATCTGACACTCTCCCTGTGGGAGCACTCCATCCAAGGCACTAACGTATCCAAAGCACTCAAACGAACTGAAAGATATGAGCGATGAGGTGGTAGGGCAGCTGGAGGAGCATGTTGTTGGAACCACGTGTCGTGTTCTCCCTGTCTGCTGATGCCATCTGACCAGTTGTCCTTACTCTGGACCCATTCAAAGTAGCATGCACTACGGAGTGCAAACAGAAGGCCATGGATAGCCCCGGCCATAGAATCCAGCTCATCGTTGTTGCTGCGGCCTCGTATGAGGGCCATGAGTGCAGCGATATTGTCAACAAACCAAATACCATGCATTCCGCGAGCTGATGAAGCATTATACGCAAGGCCCATGTAGACTGTCAAGAGCTCAAGCTGCGCAATCTTGGCCTCATGATTGGACCACACCGTGAAGACCTTTGGGCTGATGTGGACAACATAGGCCCTTCGACTACCACGGGGGTCAATGAACAAGACTCCCGCCGAACCCTCGCGAGGCCTCTCTTGCGCCGCATCGGATGCAGCCAAGTACCGGTGTTGTCGCACTGGATTAAGCGGTAGTTCTCTCTCAGGCTTCAACTGAAGTAGTGCTCGAATTCGATCAAAGGATTGTTCAATCTCCGGTGTCATCACGACTTGCGAGGAGTATTGTCTTTCCTTGATGCTATGGAGGCCCGACCGGCCGAGCTTGCCGAAGCATCCCGTGGTCAAGAATCCCAGGCAGCCAAAAAGTTTGGCCGCCAGTCCTGGAGGGAGGCGACGCGTCTGAATGGCCTCCTCCATGATGTCGGTGACCTTGGTAAGCAATCGGTCACGGACCCAGAACTTAACAGGAGCACCCTGGTGGCAGGCTGCCACGTCGTGGATCAACCCCAGAAAGTCAGACTGGGCCGCCAAAGACTGATGTTTCTCTGTTTGGAAGGGTGAGCCAAGGCATCGTGCAAGTTCGTTGACGAAGGCCTGGCCAGTGCCGCCCATAATACCAAAATCCTGGATTGTCAAGTCATCAATGTACATGCTGGTCATGCAATAGGCCAGGCGGCGGCATGCAGCTTGGAAGAATCGGGGAAACCGATTGAACGAACATACAGCATTTGGTAACCCGAACAGAGAACCGTAGTATTGCCGAAAACG